ACCTTCAGCTTCTCGAACAGCTCCGACAGCGTGATCTGGATCGCTTCAAGGTCCATATGGAACAGATCCTTCCCTGCAAAGGAGCCCGGCGTGATGCCGACACCCTTCAGCAGGCGCAACACAGCCTTCACAGCGTCTAGCTTGTTCGCCGTCGCTGGTGGCGGCGTCACCGGTCCCTTCAACGACCCAGGCGTCCGCAGCTGTAGGATCTTCATCACCGGGTTCTTGACCAGAAATACTTGGAGCTCATTCCGGTTAAAGGCCTCTTCCAGCTGATCGTCAGACCAAGTCACTACGATCTCATCGCGGCTGTCAGAGTTCGAATCTGCTGGGGCCTTGAGCTTCTTCCGCGACGCCTTCGGCTTCTTCTTCCGCAAGGACTTCTGCGTTAGCGGAGCGGTGGTTGGTGGGGTTCCTTCGGTTTTCACCTTAGGTTCCTCACCGGGCGGATCACGATTCACATCGTGATCCGCGGTGCCTTCTGAGAAGGCATAGGGAGGGGGTTCAGGTTTCTCTTCAAGAAGATCTTCCTTTTCGTTTCTGTCGGCAGAGCTCATCCCAGCGCTCTGCCGTCTTCTGACCCTTCATCGTTTAGCAGCGTCGTAGGCGATCCAGCTTCAAATGACGCCTCCATCCTTGATTCCCACTTGATTGGCACTTACTCATCTTTTTGGGACTCACAGTGATATCCCATGCCACCAGAAGATCCAGGCACGCGCACCATTGTGGTGGAGTAGGGGTCGCAAAAGCACGTTGCCATCCACTCTGACACTCAGCGCCTTGGACTGTCGACTAACGGAGGGGGTACTCCGATAACCGTGGGGTTGCTGAGGGCTCACCTTGTGTAGCCGTCGGCGGGGCTGGTTACACTCCTCTGGTGGATTTGATGGGAAGCTTGGCCTGGGCTGGTTCCGTCTTGGCGGGACGCAGGATGGTGGGGTGGCGTAGCGTGGATACTCTTCAGGCTACGCGCCAGGTAGGCCGTCGAACTTGACCGACTTGGGATGTGGTTGTTCCTGTACGGGGGGTTTCTTGTTCCTTTACATGCGAGGCTTGACCGCTTCCTATAGCGGTGGAGTTGAGGGCGAGAGTGGAGACGATCGACCGGCCAAGTTGCAAACTCCGGCGACTGACACATGTTCTTGGTAGAATTACTTGATTACTGTATGGACCAATGTACTTCCCGCTACAGTCTCCGTTCTTGAACCGAAGACACTTGTTCCTCATAAGGTAAATTCCACTCTGTTATTCCTTTAAGTCCTAGCGTTCCAATACCTTCTGCCCATCCTATAGACGCCCTTTCTATCCCCTCTGTAGCCTGGTCGCGTGGTACTTACCATCAGTACAAATCAGTTGATGTGTCCACAGTAGATTGAATCCTTGGAGGTAGATCATGTGTCCAAATGACTGCACTATATCGATCCACTCTGATGATTACGTAATCCTCACGGATGACGACGTAATCACTGACGCACCGTCGTCGACCATGAGTCTCAGGGCTGGATCGGGTCACTTCCCATCAATCAGTTTTCTTATTCGCAAAAGCCAACTGGCGCTTCACCACATGTCCGTGGGCCGTTACGTAAGAAAGCAGGGACGACGGTGCCTTTATCAACACCGTATCGTTGCTAGTTACAGCGTTCGAGATCCTTCTCGGCATGTTCGCCAAACATTTCATCATACGAAGTGGTCCTGGTAGACGTGGACGTCCGCCGCGAATGCAGAACAAAAATAACGTTTTGGCGCGTGCTCTACACTTCTATACGGCTGCCATCGAAATGAAAACTCTGTGTAAAATGTTTGGCATTCCTCCGTCAATATTGAATGTTCAATCTGCGTTGGGGAGACCTTTGAAGGATTTACCACCACTCAAATTCGATGGCCTACAATTACTCGACAGAATGAATTGGCCGCTAAGGTGACCTGTAAAGAACCGCTTGTAAAAGGATGCTTCTGTGTAGCGGACGGCGAAAACTACTCGGTACAGTCTCCAACAACAAGCGATATCCAAAACGAATATTACAACGGTAAAGGTACAGGCCGATCTTGTATTAGTTGAAAATAATATTGACATTTGTTGCATAAATGCAGGTTGACTTCACTCTGTGAAGGTGACTGGTGTTCTCTGGTATGGTTTTGACGGCACGCTAATATGGGGCGCCACAAGCATCCTGGTTCTTGGAATGACGGTGAAATGAGCCGGCGCCTGCAAGATCGGCTCGCTAACACATCTTTGACGATGGAGGGTGGTCGTCGTGCCGCCGATTCCGTCTTTCCTGTAAGCGATGATATGAATGGGAGAATCATTACGACGCTAAACGAGGGAGATCTTGAAAAAGCTAGTCGTGAATGCAGAATTGGTTTGCTTGCAGTGAGCAGCGCCATTACGTCCATCCGTCAAGCCGCAGAGTGGGGCACGGGCGGTGCTTCGAAGTGCTATAGACAACTACCATTACCTTTACCCTTTGATCCTGTAAGGCGAGGTAAGCGTCTAACCAACATCTACCACTTGTACAATCTGCGAGTCCGTATTGCAGGAATAAGTCAAATTAGAAATGTGTACACATCGCAACATGAAATGAATGTATATTGTCCGGATTAACTAAGATGTACTGTAGCGTGTTCTAGTCGAGACATAGTTTCAACAGCTCTCTCTAATGCGACTCGAACCGGGGAGAAGCCACTGGTTCGGCAGGCGAAGTCTGAGACGGCATGACCTCACCGAAGATCTCGACCATGAACAGCATCATCAACTGCTGGTTTTGTGTATCTTGAGCACTTTGACGCTCCGCTATTTGAAATTGGAACTCTCGTTCTTTTTCGGCGCGGACAGCTTCACGCTCTTCTCGCTCCTTACGAAGTTGGTCCTCTCTAGCCGCTTGTCTTTCTTCGATCATCAGCAACATAGCTAGCATAGACTGGTCCGTATTTTTCGGTTCTGGGTCTTTTGACAAAGAATCCAAAACTTTATCGAGCCGGATACGCCTCTGAGCTGTTGGACTCAATATCGGAGGAGCTATTTGAACAGAGCTTGGCTCACGCGTAGAGTCAACAGTGTTGGTGAGGGCAGATAATTCCTGTAAAAATTGGACCACTCTTGAGATTTATAAAAAAAAAAAACGTAGACAGAATCTTGGACGACTGGTAGAAAACATTTTTGTGCCGAGACATATGTTCACAAATACTAATTACGGGTCCGCTGCGGGCCTATGCTAAAACCATTCCCCTAAACGTGGCAAATGCTTAGATACACCAAACGATTTTTGATTATACGTGCTCTCTTTATACACCTAATAGGTCCGCTGCGGACCCACAATCCATCTCAGGTAGTGAAAGGTTAACACTTTTACAGTGACTTTATAGGTTTTGACTATTAACATGGGTTTCTGTTATGATCAGTAAACAGTTTTAGTATTTATAAAATATTAGACTTTTTTTAGCAGGGATTCAAAAAATCTACTTTTAGCATAGGCTATCTAGCACAATCAGGCGAAAAATTGACACTTTTTGGAGGTCAACTATGTTTTGCAACTCTCATTATGATGACTATGTTTTAGCAGCGCTTTATGCTAAAAGATAACAATATTCTAAGAATAGTGGTAATATTTTGGGTCATGATGCACTCGTAGTTTTCGAGTTAGGGCCAGTAAGAAGAAAAAAAAAACGCTTATTCGTACTTGATAGTGGTTAAATCGTACTTAAACACGTGTAATGGCTTGTTTATGTTTTATTTTTGGCTATTGGCAAAGCGAAATTTGCAAAATACAACATTCTGACGACATTGTGTACACCTCCGAAATCCCGCCAAATTGTGCTGTGTTAAATTTTAAACAAATCATAATTTCAATTTGACTTGTAGATTTGGTGGCCGATAAATCGATATTCTCTGGATTCTATATCCAGAGTTTTAGGGGGAGAGTCATTCTGACCCAAAACTTCTTTAAATTCTTATACGCAGAGCCCAAACTAATATTGTCAGCTCAGAACTTAAATATATTGTTACTTGAGAACTTGATATGCCCTGTTATATAAAATCTAGGCTGTACTGTCATACCCAAAATAGTGGGTGCTCGCTGACCAGCATAACGCGTCATTTCAGCTTATATCAAATATGGTACCCAAACTTTACACAAAAAGACTCGCGATGTATATCTGATATCCTTTGCGCAAGTAATGCCACCGTGGTGAATGTTGCTAATGGTAGCCATTAAGTGTGACTAGCCGAAGTAATTTTAATCGGTGTGAATGTTGAGGAGACTTCAGATTGTGCCAGAGCGCACCACCACCAGTAACCCTCTCATGCGACTCGCACAGTTCAGTTGCGTACGTACTGCTAGAATAACGTGTCCGAATATTGGAAAGCGTATTGTGTATTATAATAGTTACCCTCCTGCACAAAGGCAACAGTTATGTAAAATCCAAAGCTTAGTGTACATGTACGATTGTTAAAATTTAAAGTGAAGAACGTGTACGTACACTTATTTTGTAAATCCTACAGTTAAAAACCGCATTCTAAATGTATTACTGCTGCTGGTTACGTAACAAATGCAATATTGGCATTGGGGTTTAGTCGTTTATACTCGACCATGAACTTGGCGTACTGGTAAAAGTCTGGGTGTTTCTCAATAACTTTCAACTTCATATCAGGAGCTTTCTTCATAATATCCACTCGAACATGGGACGGCGTCAATCCAGCATAGAGCCACAACTCGTGTTTCTCCATCTGGGCGGCCGGCTTTGGGATATTTTGCCCTAGTTTGAGTCTCTTGTAATCAACAATGAACTTGAGATACTGGTAGGAGTCCTTGCCTCTCAGAATAGAGCTCAGTGCCTGCCATGGCGTTTTCTTCAGCACATCCACTCGAACCTGGGATGGATTCAATCCAGCATTTAACCACTTTTGGTACTTCTCCAGCTTGGGCATCTCCTTAATAACCTTGGCCCCACCGGTCTCGACAACAGATCCCACCTTTCCGAGTACACCATTGATCATGGGAGAAAACATCCTCTCCTCTGAATCTCCGTCGACGCTGTAGGCCTGAGCGTTGGCTCGTAGGATTCGCTTGGGGTAATCGGGAGTTGAATAGTGAGCCACGAGTGGTGTCTCTTTCTGGGAATTCTTGGTGGCGTCCGTGGCTGCTAAGATGCAGTCTATGCATGCAAGGAGCGCGATTCCAGTGGCCAGCAGGGCACACGTTAGACGCATGCTTGATCTGCTGGACACGACCCAGCGAGCTTGTGAACCGGAGGAAAACTTGCGATCTGAGAGTGCATACATTGCGCAAATTGCCCAATAGTCCTCCTGAAGGCACGCAGTACAAATCCAACAGATACAACCGTACAGTAATCCATTTACGATTTGATCCAAAAGCATATGCAAACCCGCTATCGGTGAGGGCTTACTCGTTGTTAATAATCGACCATGCTAGCGCTTAGTTACTACATGCAAGTTAGTAAGCTGCGATGGCTGTTCGATCGCCATATAAGTAGGAAAGGAGCGCTGCTTGATTCACTGGAATTGATGTATGTCTCTCGGACATCCATCCCCGTAAAGGCAACGCGCACTAATAGCCTGGGTGTTTTCGAAAGATGCCTCGTTTATTGCTCCTTGGGATTCCCGATGGGAAAAAGGTTACTTTTCGTGTACTGACTATCCGGGTCAAATTACCCTCCATTATCTATAACTTGTGCTACTATCAGAGCGGAGCCAACATAGCGGTCTTCACGCTGGTGAAGTATGAGCTCCAAATTAAAGCTCACGAATAGTTGTGATAGATCAAATTTGTGTCGACTACACGTTGACGCCTTTGCGAAATGGAGATAATAAATTACGGGGTCGATTTAGACAAACCCACTTCTCTTTAGCGCACGCTGCATGTCAGGTAACAAGACAACAAGCTACAGACGATCCCCTCGGTAGTAATCCCTAGAATTGGAATACTCCCTCAGCAGCAATAAATTAGTGGTTCGAAGTCAAATATTCCTGTTCTGGATCTTAGCTGTGGAAAAAGTCATAACTGCTTTTCCTGCCAAGTCCATGTCCCAGTGTGGATAAAAGCCGCGGCTTTATTCGACTTTAATCGTTTTATTGGTCAATTTTGCCGATCGGCAAAATTGACTTTACTCGACTTAAGCCAATAAAGCCGCGGCTTTATTCGTCCGTTCCATCCGGTTGGAAGTGTTTGGATCGCACAACGGGCTCAGTTATCCGGACGACCACACCTTACGATTGACGCAGCAGAGCCCGCCAGCAAGGAGCCGCTGCGACGAAAGACTCGCCGCCAAGGACGTCGTGGCTTACACGTTGCTCGTCAATCTCAACGATACATGGACCCCAAAAGCTCGGATGTTTCAGTATGCCCGAGCAGACCGCGTAGGCCAAGATGACCTAGCGCAACAGCGACAGCATTGTCGAGTATAACCGATGCCTCTCGCCGTGACCACGTGCATTTTCGCGACGCCATACTAGCTTCTTCCGCAAGATTGCTTGTGGCCTGTGAAACGTTTGAAAGTATACAGCATGTTTGTAAAGTATACTGGTAATTATCCGAAGCAAGACTATACGTGTGTATAATGACGCTAATTAACGGCTCAAGCCAGCAAATCACGCCGGAAAAATAAAGCCGCGTGTCGCGGCTTTAAACCACACTGCATGTCCCGCCTGATGAAGCATCCATTCGACCACTCTGAAGGAGACTCGAACTTTAGGATCACGGAGAAGCGCTCTGCCTCTACTCAAATTGCCTCCCCCGTGACAGTGACACCCTTCTCTTTACACCAAGCGACCCAACTGGCAAGGAACTTGTCGAGTTTTGGATGGCGCATCGTGTGCCGCAATTTTGTGGCCCCCACTGCTAGACCGGAGGTGACTCCATCTCTTTTCTGTGCATTAATAGATACCATATCATTGCTTGTGGCGGAACCAGAGGAAGATCGAAGATTCTACGAGCCCATGAATCTAGCTCTGTTTGGGACATATTAGGGATATGAACATGGCGCTAGCATATTTGTACAGCAGTCGTTGAGTGTTGGTGAGTGGTAGGTGGACTGGCTGGGCTAGAGAGAAGGGTATCTTAATGTGGCGAGGCAAACTGGCAATAGGAGATCAAAACACGATGAAACGCCAGTAACGAGTCACATCATTCGTCTCTATTAATAAGTTTTGTGAACTGTTCCAAGCTAAAGGTGGTACATTCATGGATAGGAATACCCTTAGACAGGAATAAATTGGGGGCCGAGGTGATCGTCCGTATCAAAGAGTGCCAACCAAATACGTAGGTGTATAAAGTGAGCGCGTATAAGCACACATCAAACGTGTGCCACATTTAGGAGGATGGTTTGGCATAGGAGCGCAGCCGCTGCCAGCGGACCATTATTTGGGAACATCTGTCTCGGGACAAAAACCGTTTCTACCAATCGTTCAAGACTTCGTCTGTTTTATACCAATCGTTCAAGAGTGGTCTTGTTCTTACAGGTCCGCTGCGGACATATACTGTAACAGCACAGGGATTCGCTGGTAGAGAAAGCGTTTAATAAACACCATTTCTGAATCAATTTGAGGATTTCCCAGATCAAAACAAGATAAAAAAAACTATCAAAACAAGAAACTTTACAATAAATTATGCGTTTATCAACCCCATCACCTTTAATTTTATGTGCAGCTGACAGCTGTCAGCTGTACGCATGTCCACTTTTAGGTGCCTCAAATCTTAGTCCCTGATGTACTACAAAAAATTAGAATCTATTAATAATTTTGACAGAACACAATAATTGTGCTTTGCAGATGGAATGTCGATCCGTTTTATGGCCTAAATCGATCGTCGTCGGCGCATAAATCAGGCATATAAACGAGACAGGAAAAGGCAGACCTGGTATAATTATTGGCACGTGTTGCTGCTCCATACTGGGAGCCATATTAAATCCTTTGTAGGGGTTTGAAGGTCCTTATTGAAGGTCTAATAGGGATTACTACTGTACATATACCCAACTTAGCGTCAGCTTGAAAACGCTGCTCCCTTCTCCGTTATGATGATGTTGTTCAGTTTGGAGGACTGGTAGCCTCTTCACTATTGTCTTAAATCCTATCCAAACACCCGCCCAACGTTCTGTGGAACCTACGTGCCAAAGCTTGCCAACACCTCAGTCACTGAGGTGTTGTCAGTGTAACAGTCACATTGCGGCGTTGCCGCACAAGGCACATTTGGCTGTTTTATGAGCCCAGTCTGGAGCAGCAACCACTATCATAATTATATATATCCTCGATTTGTGTTTCAAATGCACACAAGGAGCCGTTTTACAGGATATCGATAAGTTGTAAGTCGACCACGAGCGCTCGATAATCGAGTCGATTTGGCTTGTCCTTCCTCGACTTATTAACCACCCTAGCTAGAACGATCTGTCCCTTTTTATAACATCCTAAACAATACTAGTAAAAACAATGCCCGGACAGCTGATTGGATCAAATTGAGAATTTCCCAGGTCAATACAAAAACAGCTAAAATCAAAACCAGAAAACATTCAATACATTACGCTTGTATCATCCCATCACCTCTGCTTTTTAGTACTGGGTGCTTCCTGAAATCACATTTTATATTTGCGCACATTTGTTTATTTTTTTGGCGCATTTGTCACGCGATTATGCTCGTCGTTGCTGGCTCGACCGAGAAAAATAGTGCGAACAAACACAAATTAAGTTGATAGATTAGGGACAATTGTGGTGCTGAAAACCGATTCACTCTCCAGCCGAAACCCTCTCCTTTCTTATACCAAAGTGTCACTTCGCAACCATCCCTTTCAAGCCGATGTCCGTATCATCAACGCCACCGCCTCCATTGACTCCTCGTGCGCCCCGTCGAGATCGTGTTGCAGCACCAGGTGGACGTGGCGCACGCTTCGGTGCTGACGAGCTGCAGAGCTTCCTTGAAACGCTTGAAGAGCATCTACCACTGGGGCGCGACGAGTGGGAGCTGGTTGTTTCTATCCACATTCGGAGTTTTAGCGCCAACAACCGCACGGTCGACTCTATGCCGCTCCTGCATACCTACTGGTAATCCTACATGCCCAGCAGAGGTGCGAACGGCGAAGCGAGTGCATTTCTTGATGGCTCAGCGGGCAGACATCGGTGAAGGTGACCACATAAGCGAGACAGACATCGGTGCCGTCGCTGGATCAAGCCAGAATCAATCCCAGCAAGTGCCACCGATATCCGGAGCTCCAACGGAGCGTTCGGTAGCCCAATCAGCCTCAGGTCAGCCGGCGACGGCTGGTCTAGGTAATGTTCCAGAGCTTACCAGAGCAACTGGCTCTAGTGTTCCTCGACCTCTCATCAATGGCCACCGGAAAAAAATCTGGTTCAATCCAACTAGACGTGTGCGAAGATTAAACAACACCACTATTGAGAGCAAGATGCACTTCCGATTTCCTCTCTCCTCGTAATTCAGTCTATCTTTTAAACGAGGAAACGCAGCTTGAATAGCTCGCATTCCCCACTCGGCTGACTGGCGTATTGCTGTCACCTCTCTGCCAATAGCGGTTGGCAAAGCAACGTCCTCTCCACTCTTCAGCAGGAAGTCATACGTTCCTATAGAAAATGCAGAATCAACTAAGACCTGTCCTCCCGTAGATTGGTGGAATTGTTCGACCTTGGCATACACATTCCCCCACTCCGTAATTTGAGAATCATGCATACAATCAGGTGCATTGAGCGCACACGCAATGATGAGTCACATTGTTGACGTAGTGGTTATGTGTCCAGCTGTTGTAGACCATGTTCTGAATTTCAGAGTGACCTGAGGCCTGCAAACAAAGCTTGAGACCGTCCATAACAGCGTACACAGAGCTCAACAGTGGATATTTTGCCTCGATCGCATCTTGGAGGCGGCCTATTTCACTTGATGTTGGCAAATTGACTTGAGCTGTGGTGTCGTTTTTCAGAACTAGCACCAACAGGCGTCTGCCGAGGCGAAGAAAGAGAGACATCACTGATGCTGTCACACCAAATACCAGGCTTAAAAATGGCGCTGGTCCAGCTGAGCGCCCCCACGCTAGCATCAACGCCAAGCACTGATCTGCTGTCATCGAGCGCGGTCGTCTAGACCTCGGTGTCGTTTGCTTCAACTTGACAATCGAACCATGAACAGAGTACGGCGAGTATTGGTTGTAGAATTTTCCAAACGTGCCAGTAGATAGCGAAAGCTAGCATTGTGGAACCCAGTCAGTGTGATGAGAGACCGCTGAAACATATGCAGTGGTAGCTAAGCCCCTTTTGCAAAACGATATTGCATTCGACGCTGAGCGGAGGGCCCACGTTGATCTTGCTGCTCGCGTCGCCGTCGTAGCAACAGGGTGGCAAGGCTGAGGGGAGGGGGCAGCATATTTTTTTTAAGTAAAAGGAGTGATCTTCATCACCAATAAAAAGCATTGCCACACGGTCCAGCCGGTAGCCGCATGCTGTTGCTTCACCCCTAACCGCCTACAGTCCCCTGTTTTCACTTAGTCCAGACTTCGTGAACGGCTTTACTATAGCTCTGCAATATTTTAACCTTTACTTTTTTATTCCGAATGATTGTGTAAGATGTCATAGTATAATCAGTCTAGTTGCAACATCAAGTACGTCACAAAATAAGCATCACATAAAATGCTCCGCTGTAGGGTTTCTTTCTGGAATAGTACGCATAAAAATTTTGATTTCAGGAGTCACCACCTATTATGTGCAGAACTGTGCGCTTGTCTACTCTTAGACGGGGCAGTCGAACTACTCTTGTATTTTCTCGATTTGATTCTATTATTAATAATTGTTTCAGTTTTGATCTAGGAAATTTTCAGTTTAACCCAGATATAATGTATACAGCGTATAGTATTTATAAAGAATACATACAGTACGCAGTGTACTGCTGCAGCACAGGACAGCGACGTCGAGAGATGATAATCCGCCCACCTATGCGGGATATATCGTAGACCTGTCAACGTGCGAAGCATAAGCGTAAGGGCAAATTCTACATGATCGATCTACGAGAGATAAAGAAAAAGGGGAGGGAAGGAGTTGGTTGATGAGTGACTAGTAATTTCAGTTTGTAGATTCTATTAGACCAAAAACGATTGATATCTCTATTATGGTACTGCGGAACCTAGAGTGACTTGGAAGTGCCCCGTGCATCTCCAAAATCGCTGAGCACCACAAGAATGTATTGTGGTGGTGGGAGTCTATCCAAACTCGAACATCGCGTCATTGTTCACCCGGCCGGTATGAGAACGGTCGCGCTGACCTCTACTCCCTCAATGAATTATTAGATATCCGTCCTGGAGGCTGTATTTCCCACGTTTGTTATTCTATTTGCATTGATCTCGCTATTGCCGAAGAGTTCGAAAACACACGATAGTGGATATATCGAAGACTACACAGGAACGTGTTAGACCAGATAGCAATTGTCTGTAAATAGCGTGCTGTACTACTTTAATGATCACCAAAACCTCCCACATGCGGACGCGGTGGAAATACAACTATTTTAATAGAGTCTGACTTTTCAGGCTTGATTATAAAAATACGTTATAGCTTGCCTAGCACAATTGGATACAGGTGGTATGTGTTCAAGCTACATCTTCTACCAAATGTTATGAAGCGCACTGTATGTGAATATATATTATTGGCGGCTGTTGGAGGCTAGCATTATAATTCGGGAAACATACATGTTTTCGGTCAGAATTAATCCTGTATCTTGAAACCCCTCAAAAATGAATAGCTATATGGTGAATATTCGAGACGATTTGTTGAGGACGCGAAAGACTCGTTACGTGTGGCAACTAACGATGCAGGATTAATCCTGATATACCATGATTAAATCATGGATGAGACTTTTGTATTGTAATAATTGTACCATAGTCCAGGATTAATCATGCTTATCAGCTCATAAAAAATCCTGGATTGAAGATTTGTCCAAAATTTGAATTCATTGCACAGGATTAATCCTGTTTTTCTACATGTATAAACCCTGGCTTCAAGTTTTTGATACGACTTTCAATGAAAAGCTGCATGCATTGAGTATTACGATGCAAAGCTACCGTGCAAATCTCACTTGTGAGCAATTTGACTAGGCTCTACCTCCTCATCGTCCATGTCCTTGTCTTCGCTCTGTGGGGCAGGAGGTTTTTCCTCTGTCAAATCAGTTGCAGCAGCCTGCGCAGGCAAGGGTCGACCCGTGAGTAGATATATGAACAGCTCAAAGCGACGCCTTGGAAGCAAAGCGTCGTTCATATCCAGGTGCCCGTAAGTAATCTGCCGGATAAATGTCCAGCAAACATAGACACTACTGCTGAACCGTCAAACTGAAGGGGGTTGTTCATTGGAATGGGTTCGAAGTCATTTAGCCTGCAAGCTTCAGTCTAACGGCAACCGCATTCACCGCGTTCTTGTACAAAGTATGATTCAGGGGATCGTAATAGTAGATCCTCGTTGTCTTCACTTTAACAACCACGCAGCACCAGTACAGATTGTCAAAGTTTAGAGGAAGGAACACCGACTCAACTTCCTCTTCTTTCACTTGCCTCAACACGCAGTCGCGGATATCATCGCTCAACACCGTGTCCGCCCCGTTCCACGTGCGTTTCGTTTTGACCTTCGCTGATTAAAATCCTGCAAACCGACATTGGGGATAATCTTGACACAGACGGACGCATAATGCGCGAATAGAGGCGTCCGAGAGCCACGATGGAGGCATTGCTCGGTAGAGTATTGCATATTGGAAGTCCGCGTCGCTTGGGAGCCCATCGATAGACTTGTAGGGGTACGTATCCTTTATAAGTTTAGCAATTCGTTTGCCCAATGCATGGTAGTCTGCAGCCAGAGCCGGGATACCCGTTTCGGTCATCCACTTGTACGTTTCGAGACCTTCTTCGACGGCCTCCTTTAGATTCAGGACTCGCTTTAACGTCTCTATATGCTGGAGAAATTACCCACATCTTTAATGAGCACCGTCTCCTTCTGCTGCGAAGCCGTTTCGTCATCGGTGCCCTGAGCTTGGTTTGCTTGAGAGTATAGTGCTGGATGCCGTGTTTGGGATCGGTAGAACCTTCAGGCATGTCTCCAATAGTTTCGACGGGTAGACGATAAAACGGATCCTGGACCAGTACAGGATTTTTGCTGACCTTCCGTTTTATCTTCTTGTTTTCATGTTCCACATACCGCACAATTAACCCGAAAGCCGGCTTTGCGTTTCTTGAAGGCCAGGTTGATCTCGAGCCAAAGCATTCAACAATCCCTGTAACGTAGCCTGGCCTGCTATCTTCCGTCCGCTTTCAGCAGCTTCATACCACTTCCGACCCTCTTTTTCCACTGCAACTAATTTTTGCTTGTGTGTCCGGGGAGCGCAGACCTTTTTCGCCGTTAGATTCAGTCGAATTACGGACGGATTGCCTTTACTTGGAATTTCGGCGGGTAGATCTGATGTAGCTGCGAGACATTCTTCTTCGTTTTCACTTGAGCTAATATCAAACTCCAGTCAAGCTGCTGCATCAAGAGCCATATCATTGTGTTGAGATTGTTGTGATGTGGACTCGCCCTCACCGTTGTCGCTCTCCACACAATCACCCTCTTTATTTGACGCACATTTCTCCACTGGTTCAAAACAAACTTCAGCATTTCTTCGTCATTTTCGATACCTGCCATTTCATTTGTAATAAGGTGTGTAGCTGGCACAGCTTCACGATAACGTTCCGAATGCGTTCTCAACTTCTCTCGCACAGCTCCTGCGTCCGTTGTGGTGAACTTCTCGTACTTGAACTGCTTGACTTGTTTCAAAGGCCGGTTTGGAGTGGTCCATCTACAAAGAAAGGAAACATACATGATTTTAATCATGAAAATTTACAAGATTTAAATCCTGGGCTTTTACACTACTTGAATCCTGGTTAAATCGTGGACACTTACCTTTCGCCGATACAACTCCATGGGATGAGCGGCCCTGAAACACCCACGTGCTTACGCTACGTAATGGCGTGGCGACATGGTAAACTCATCGACACTGAGAATTCACAGCCAGATCATAGATACGGGACCGTTTGACTCCAACAGCCAACATACCATCACCGCACTATAGGTTTTTTTTAGTCCAGGTGACGTAGGGTACGTTGCAAACGCAGCCGGAGACACCGCGTAAAAGCCCCACGTCTCACCTACAATTCGTGTCGTGGCATATTCAACTGGACGACAATGCAAAACGAGCAATCCGTCAAACGGATATGCTGCCGAGATCGAATCCCTTCGCTGCGTGACTTACGTTTCTTCCATCCATGCGTACAGATGTATGTACGCATGTATGAATCAAATTCTTCAGGAACCAGCTGAGACGAGTTTACACCCTAATTGTTCTTCATCGACCCCCTGTTTCTCTCTGCACGCGAAATTGTCTCCTTTACCAGCAGAACTTTGCAGCTTCCGCTGACAGTACACCGTAAAGTACGCGTGCCACGTGTCCCAGTCGGCATGCCACGAAGAACGGTGCCTCCACAGTCACAGAAACTTCCCCATCGTCATTCCCTCGCCATCATAGTCCACGTCCACGTCCTCGGCATCATTCTCCACATCCACATTGACGCTATCATTCACCACATCCACGTCATCGTCTTCACTCTTCACGTCCAATTCACCCTGGCCTTCCACGTCACACCCAGATCCGGTTTCTTCATCTCTCCGCCCAACCGACTCTTCTTCAGCGCTTGGGGTCTCCGTATCACCAGCTCACATGACGTCTGATAGGCCGGGTCCTCTGCGGCGGGGAGAACCGTTCGGACTGCGCATGTTTCCCGCTTCGTCCTCAACGGTTTCTCACGTCTGGCGGCAAAAAAAGTCAAATGAAAGACAAACTTGTAATGTATCTTGATCGGAAATAGAAGAGAAGATCGGAAATAGCAGAAAATTTTATCTTTCAATCTTGGATTGATCCAGGATTCAAATCATGTATGTTTCCCGAATTATAATTCTGGCCTCCAACGGTTCCCTATATTATTTACTAACTGTGCATCAAACAGATCATGCTCTGTAGGATACTTTCACGGGAGATAATTACATTTTAACTCATTTCGAAAACACCATGCATTAAGGCAGACGTTGCCTCAGTTCTTAACATTCGCTGCAACAATACAGACTGTGTTGTTACGTTTATGCTTCGTTCTTTGACAACCCGGTCTACGAGATACATGTATGCCGCCGAGGTGGGCGGATTTTCTACCCCCAGCGACACGGGAGTGAAGAGAACACAATTACGGGACGGTTACTCCAGTGTAAGCGTCCCGTTATCGGTTCGGTAACGCGACTCACATTTACCTAAAACCATTAGATGCTTTACGCACTTTTTTGGCTAAAGAAACTAATATGAACTGTAGAAAGTAAAACGGATAGAGGTATATTTATTTTTGAAGTTCCAAATTGGAGGAATCTAATTTGATATCAAATTGGAAGGCAATTCTGTTCAGCATTATCCGTTATATTGACTGCAGGGCATCACTCTCATCTGGCGGACAATAATGCCGAACAGTGATCCCTTCCAATTTGAAACATCAGACTTGGAAGGGATAAAAAAACGCGCCTTAAATTTTAATCAGGGTTGGTAGGATACACTTTTTGTCCCCGAAATGGGATATTTACAACTGACCTTTATTTCTTGTCGATCTATCGCTACCACTAGAAGAGCTTGTGAGTCTTCCGCGGTGATCGGAATATGTCAGGATCCTGTTAAGTCGGTGCTCACGATGTAATGCCAAAGTTGTGCCCGGAAGTTGCCTCCCGACCTCTGTCTCCTGTCCCCTAGCAACGAAACCAAAGGAAGCAGCTCGCTAGCCACCGCAATAGTCCGTAGATAGTACTATCCCCACCCTGATTCATTGCTCCTCGATCTCGAAGAGCAGAGACCTCGCGATGCTACGGTCCCTCAAGTCAGCACACCAAAGATAAAAGTTTTAGTCCTGTTTACAGTTACAATGGTTCCAAGGAGCTAGGAAATAATCACCGGGATTAATGGACACCTTTACTACTATTAATAATACATAAGGAATACGGTACTGACCTTGATTGAATTCCAACCAATCACGATAGCCCTACACCAGTTTGATACTCTACCACATTGCCGATCTGTTTACCATACTGTAATTCCGTTGACTACCATACAACAACAATGCCGTCCTTTGCTCTGGAATTTCAAGTAAATGGTAATGGGTGGGCGCCGGATTCGGCAGAAGCGGCGCAGATACACCAAGAGGGGTCCAGTTCGGATCCCAAGTGTAATGGGCTCACTGTGTGTGTGCCCACTACTTCGGCTTACACGTTAGCGCACGTGTATGAGGAAGCGTAGTTTGCTTAACTTATATTAACTATACTTACGTTTCGTAAGTATATATTTACTTAAATAAGTAATCAAAAGCCGATTTACCGTAAAAATGAGAACTGTTATTTATGTTTTATGTTTTGAGTTTGGGTTTCCTCCTAAAGTGATATTCTAAATGAAAGGTATTTGCCAACGAGTGGTTGGCAGAATCCTGCTAAGCTAATTGGTTGAAAGAGATCGCCTTTCAACCAATAGGAAGTCTAAATGCACACAGACCAGT